TTTTTCATTTTTCTCAATTGGGGTAATTCCGGCCGGTCCATTCAAATACACGGAGTTTCCTGAAACAAACCTCTGGTACTTTTCAGAAGTAGATTTCTGACATACTCTTCAGGTAAAAGGTATTCGTTATGTCATTACCTACAATATATGTGAAAATTGCATCTCAATAGCTCAAAATCAGCAGGCTCTATGAACTTAAATATTTTGATGTAATTTTACACATATTGTGGTAATGAATTTACACAGTATTATTAGAAGAATAGAGGATAGCGGAACAGGAGATTAGAGGAATAGCGACCGACCGACCGGAATCAAAGAAGCTGCTCGAGACATAAATGAGTTATTCAACATACAAAGTATTGTAGTCTAATCCCTAGTAGTATTTAAATACAATGTACTATATGTAATAAATTGATTACTCTATGTTGGTATCATGCAAAAAGGTGTCAAGAAGGAAATTATCAAAGAAAATACTTTCTTTTTTTTGCTCATCAGTTAATAAGGTCTTACAACTAATTTTAATTCTAATTTTATTCTATCAATAAATTCAAAAGAATCCTTTAAATATGAATCAGACATTGCTGATAATCATAAGTTAGACAAATATTTAGCCGTGTTGGACTTATAAGATAAATATTTATCGCCGCCGAACGAAACATTGTTTTGCATCATGATAAATCATAGAAATAACGCAGAAATATCTTACATCACGATTTATCGGAACCGTCCGATAGATCGCGACGTAGAATTTATCGCGATATGTACCATTATCAACGCGTTTATGGCGATATATCGGTAATTGCTGGGTTCAAAAATCCTCAAGGGTAGTGAATGTGCTTGATATAAGTACTTGACAAGTTTTCTCAATTAGCAAGCACTTGATAAAAGATCCATCAGTATAAACTTAGAAAATAAATGTTGATATTTCTAGTGAGTTGAACAAACTTGGTAGTAATGCATGCGTGCGCTCTACAAAAGTAGAGCATGGGTGCAGAATACGTACAAAATACAAAATAAAGATAAATGGAGGTACCTAACTGAAGTTTTTCACGATGGGGTCAGCCAAGTGTTTGGCCAAGTACTTGACAAGTAACGCAAAGTACTATTACTTTTGAAAAACCACTAGAAATTAGCTTCATTACTTGTACCAAGCAAGGTACTCGACATCAAGTACATTCTTTAGGATCCTCGCTAAATACTATAGGATTACTTTGCAGATTAGAAACTACCGTACTCTGCTGTGTAAGCTATTAAATCCAATCTATCATACGAATTCGATGTTCGATTGTTCTAGAGAATGTACCATATAAGAAATTTAAGATTCTATATGAAAAGCAGTCAGCGATTCTCTATGACGATCAGTAATCTATAGATGGCGTTATACATTAATGGGTCCAATCTTCGTAATGATTTATTAATTAACTGCTAGTAAAGAGTTATAATTGACTCGGGTTATAATAAGGGCCCGCTTTGTCTGCATGTTTTCTGTGCGAAGCCAAAACGGTCATGCACTGTAGAAGGCCCATTTCGGCAATTTTAATTGGGATATTTTCATCTAGTGAAGTTGCATAGAATGAAGAGAAAGATCTGTCATATAATATATATAGTATACACATATTGCTTGTTTTCTCCGCAGGCTGTCAAAAGTCAGCATTGATTTATTGATAATAAACAGCATATTTCTAGCATATTAAGCCATTTTTCGATCAAAAATAGAAAAAAATAAAATATATATTCTGCTTAGAAGTGTTTCTTCACCGAGATATGTTGTGTTGTTCTGATGTTGTGCTGTCCAAATTACTAACATGCTAATGTTATCATCGGAGAGAAGTATAGTGTTTCAGTTAAAACTCCGTTTCTCTTCCAAAATGATTGAATTGAACTGGACTTATAAACCGTCTGGCTAGACAATACAATGATCAATTTTGTCATCCACGCCATGAAACTGTTGTGGAAAGAAAATTTCTTTTAAACTCATGCGTGAAAACTAGTAACGTCCCCTACCGTGCTTAGGCTCTAAAATGTCTATTTCGAAACCTACTCTTGTAAATGGCGTGAACGATAGAAATTCATCGCATAGGGGAGTAACGTTTTTAACGGTTAAAGCAACAGCTCAAGAACCGTGCAAGGAGAAATATTTTGTTCTGCACGCGCTCAAAAAATTTCTTTTAAGGCTAAGAATAATTTAGAATCACCACCTCATCCATCTTGAAACGTAGTGAGAGTCAAAGCCAGTCTTTTCTTAATATGCATTATAGTTACTCAATTAATTATGTATTTTTTTCGCTATTTGTTTAGATCGAACATGTTTTGTTCATTGCGCTTGCCACCGGACAAAAGATGGGTACAAATACCGTTCTTTTATAATTCTTCGAAATATTTTCAACGTTTCGCAACAGAATACTCGGAAGCACCAGTAGACCACTCGACACACTATCAATTTGTCCAAGAATGCTATAGGTACGAAACAATTGTGATTATCCACAATAAGATCGGAAAATAAAATAAACGCTATAATCGATTCTATTTACATCGCCCATAATTACTTCCACTATGAAGAAAACAATTGTCTTATTATCTGTATACATACGTCGCCTTGTATTTCAGAATTCTTGAAGTTGACTCGGCTTGCAACGATGAGGCATTCATTCGAAAAGCGTATTTGCAAAAAGCCAAACAATTTCATCCAGATTCATTTAGTGGAATGGCCGATGAAAACAAATTTAGACAAATTCAACAAGCTTATGAAACAGTGCTGGTCTGTCTTGATCATGCTGAAAGGAATAAGAAACTAGCTTTTTTACTATTTATTGTTGCCTTTTTGTTTCATACAGGAGTCATTAAAAGTCGAATCTGAGACTACTTACGATCGAATCGAAGAGATTAGAGTGAAATGGGATATTCGACATACAGCACCACAACATCGACAATATTTGGAATATGGAGGAATAGGGTTCGCATTTAGTGTTTATCTCAATTTTATCATTGTTTTATATACGCATATGTAATTATATTTTTTTGTCTCATTTTAGTACAGGGACACCTAGTCAACGTCAAGCTCATTATTTCAAATTTCGTGCTGAGCAAGCGTGGGAACATGTTGCTGATTACAAACGAGATAAAATAATTGAGAAGGATCAATTGATGACAAAAGAAATGATCGATCGAAAAAAATCAAAAGACATTAAAACTACGTAAGTTATCCGTCTTTTCAAAAAGAAAGCCAAAGGAAGACTCGAATGCATTTTTATTCTCAAAAAAATCAAACTATTACTATCTTTATTCAAATAGATGAGTGGCGACCGAAAGCAGTTTTTAAAACTATTTCATTTTGTTTATTTTTCTTTATTTTTCAGCAAGAGATCGAGAAAAAAGCGCTTTATAAGTTATATTGTTTAGAATTCTGCGAAGTAATCTTATTATTAATCTATTTTAGTAATTTTATTGAACGTTTAGTTGAAGATTTAATTCAAGAATCAATGTCTCGTGGTGATTTTAATAATATTCGTTCTTCTGGTAAACCTCAGCATGATCGTAATCCTCACTATATGGATTTTACTACGTACAAAATAAATGAAATACTTATCGATAATGGATATGTACCTGAATGGATTCAATTAGAGAAAGAAGTGAGACAATCAATTGATGAGGCGAGAATAAATTTAAAGCGAACATTTAAAGCAATGGCAACCGATGAAACATCAACAACAACAACAACAACAACCAAAAATCTGATAAATAATGATAAATGGACAGATGCAACATCAAAATTCAAGGAAAATATTCGAGAGATTAATCAAATAATAAACAAGTTAAATTTAATTGTACCGATGTTATGGAGACAACAGGTACACTTTTGTTTTTAAAATCAAGATTAAAAGTTTACTATTGAACTATTTGCATATTTTTTAATCTTATGTTTCTCTTGTCCAGTTCTCATTGTTCTCTTGTCTTTTCTAGGTCCATTACAATGCTGAACGTGAAATTGAAAAAATTCTTCTCCTTGATCCATCTACAATTGTCTTACCTCCTACCGAAGAAGAGATTACCCAACGACAATTGATGTTAATGAATGAAAATAATAATTTTGGACAATATAAACAGCCGGAGAAATATTCGGTTGGCGATGCCATTAAAGATTTCTATCAAGCATTCAAAAACTTTAAACTTTAGATGAACTAATAATTTCTAGTCTTTCAATGTTTTCTTTTTAAATTTTATCGATTCTTTTTAAAGTCGAGTAAATACAAAACGCCATTGTTTTTGATTCTGTAAATATTTCCTTTATTTTTCTAATTTATTCGAGCTTATTATTATTTTTTATAAAATTGAAAAAATACAGAATATTGTCACGTGACGATAAATCAAAATATTCTATTTTTTTTCAGGTGTTATGTTACATTTGACTAACACAGATTTCTTTGATTTATAAACCAATCATAAATAACAACATCTGACATTTCATTTAGATTAGATAATGGAAAATGATTTACATGATTATATATTAGCAACAACAATGTCATCACCAATAGTATCAGCCATTTCTCGTCCAACTCCACCGATAATGACCATAACTCCAATAACATCTTTCGATAATATCACATCTGATTTACAATCAATTTTACTGGGTAATCAGAGTCCTCCATTTACATTTGATGAAAGTATTTTGACTACATCTAATCCAGAACAATGGAACGATGGTGATGTTATAGTCGAACTAGACAATCTAAGTATGTTAAGTCAGATATGTGATGGGCTACCAAGACTTCCTGAACAACAACGATTAGCACAACAACAATTAGAACAACAAAAATTAAAAACGATTACAGCACAACAACAACAACAACAACAAAAGTTAGCCAATATACTAGACATACATCACATGAAATCACAACAACAGCAACAAACAATCATACAAAAAACACTAGATGAAACAATATTTAAGTATGTGATGATTACTAAAGAGATAAGATTCTAATTTCTTAAACAAAAATCTTATAATTAGATTTTTCGTTCGTTGTTGGACAAAGTTTTTACGATGTCATCTTTTTTTCATTCACACTTTTAGTCAACCTTCATCATCGTATGAATATTACACATTTGAGTTAAGTTTTTCTGATTTGTTAACGTTTTGGCACTTTTATGATCAATTGTACATTGAACAATTTTTACATAATCAATCATATCCAACAACAATTATTGATCAGGCCATAAAAAGTTTGTCCGTATTAGAATTAGATTTTAAAATACCATTGCCCACAAAAAGTTTACAATCTTTAAAAAGATTAAATTCAAATGAACAAGATAAATTATTACAAGAATTAACATTTACAACAAATTATGATCAAAATTATTATAAATCAGGTACGGCGTAAGAAGTTCTTTGACAAGTTAGAGACATTATTCCAGTTATAAACTTTTTACTTGTTTTATAGATGATGTAAGTAGTATGAAATCCTATGAAATAACAAAATGTCCAACAACTCCTACCGATGAAATGATTGATTTGGATTCTGTTGTTTGGCAAACACCACCCTCGACCACTTCTTCTCTTATTCCTTGTTCAACATCTTCATCTTCTGCTATTCAGTCAACATCAAATCTTCTAGATCCAACAGCTTACATCACAAACATTAATGGTATTCTAGAAAATTTAAAGGCTGGTCTATCAATATCGGCTGAATATCCTCCATTGATGTCGCATGCATCAGATTCATTCGATTATCTATTCAGGTATATGAAAAACATTAAGGAAAAAGGCTTACATAGAACTATAACCAACAGGTTTGTTTTGTTGTATTTCTGAGTAAAAAAATGTAATATGATACTTTTCTCACAGAGATTCAGTAATGAATACTCATCAACTTACGAAGGAACCTTGTCAGGTGTAACCCTCCTTTTCCAGTGCAACCCACATGGATCGATTGCCTACCTAGCGGTAGTAAAAAGCCTAAGAGGTTTCACTCAGAAAGCGCTCCTTTCGAAGATTCCAGCCGTTTTTCTGGAAAAGCAGTTTTTCAGAAACTCTAAAAAAATAACCAAAACCTTTCTTAATGAGCCATGATTGTAGCCCGCACATTTCTGATTAAAATGAGACGTCTCCCAGCTCTACGTGAACTTTGCAAAGTTATAGAATTTACAAAAATTTACAAAAAAAAAGTTATAAAATTTACAAAAGTTATAGAATTTACAAAAGCCCTACATATTGATTATCAACTCAAAGCTACAGAAATAAGAAGAAATTAGTTTAGGGCTTTTCGCAAGGTCGAAAAAGCATACTTCTCCGTACTTCTGAAGTACGAAGTACGCTTTTCCCCCTTTCGTACTTCAGAAGTACGGAGAAGTATGCTTTTTCCCCCTTGGCTTTTCTTCTAAATTCTATAACTTTGCAAAGATAGGTCATGTAGAGCTGGGAAATGTCTCACTTCAATCAGAAATGTGCGGGCTACAATCATGGCTCATTAAGAAAGACTTTGGTTATTTTTTTAGAGTTTCTGAAAAACGGCTCGAATCTTCGAAAGAAGAGCTTTTTGAATAAAACCTCTTAAGCTTTTTACTACCACTAGGTAGGCAATCGATCCATGTGGGTTGCATTGGAAAAGGACGGTTACGCCTGAGAAGGTTCCCTCGTTAGTCGTTCACTAGCTAAACTATTAGATATTGAACATACAGTTGAATTTTTTGCAAGAATATACAACGTATACTATTTAGGAAAGCTTAAAAGAACAGCAGTATTGACTGTTACTATGTCTTCCTATTAGAAATATTATTTTTTTATTTAATGTTAAAGTATTTAGAATAATAGAGTCATAGTGAATAAAAGTTATACTGATAGTACACTTGAAAAGAATAAAAAATGAACCTAAACTTATACGATTTTAAAAGAATAAGAGTGTCTTTGGATTGTCTAGAAAAAAATTGAGATTATTAACGTTGACTATGGGCACACACTTTGACGAAATCCGAGTGAGACGTCTAAACTGGCAGAAATATAATCTTACAGAATGTAAGATCTACCTCTTTCTTGCTCGTAATTATTTTAATCTACACTTTAATAAGCTTTACCTGGTATGTTTGTGTTTTTGATCTCGCATTTGTTGATAAATCAAAATATTCGTTTTTTTAGTCGTGATCCAATGATAATGGGCGTATCTGATTTATTAGCTGAACCACAACAACAACAACAACAGCAGCAACAACAACAACAACAACCTCGTTCATCACTAACAAATAATCGTCTCATCACAATATCTACCATTAACAATGTGGAAATTCCCTCAGTTTTAATAGATGATGTCATTCATATTCGTCTTGTCGACTTATCAAAACAATTACTAAATAATATTCAATTATCAGTAATAAAACATTATGCAAAACAATTTCAATGTACCATTGTTCAATGTCAAGAATTTTTAAGAGATTTTTTAATTCGTAATAATCGTCAAGCATCAACGAGTCGTTCATGTTTTTGTTTGAAATATGAAGATTGTATGAAAATTTATCAAGAATTAATTCAACATTTACCATCACTTTTAAATCCAGCAAAACAACAACAAAATGAAATGATTGTTAATAATAAACGAAAACATTCAGAAAAATCTTGGGCACTACCATCTAAAAAACGATTAAAACAACAGCAACAACAAAATGTTGCCTATCATTTGATGCACGATCACGATTATTTAGCCGAACATAATATGCACTTTCTAATGATAAATACTAATTCTATGAACAATAATAATAAACGGAAGGGTGCTAAACCAATGATAAAAACGATTTTACCAGTTATTGAACGACTGGTACCACCATTACTACCTCAGCCTCTAGTCACATTGCCGAGTAAGTATCAAAAGGAAAATGTTGATTGATACTCTAATAGAATTCAATGTCATTATGTTTTTAAGCTGATCTTCTGCACAGTATATAATTCGATTCATTCATGTCTTTTTTCCTTCTCTCTCTAGCTTCAATAAGTGTCGATCGTCCAATTATTACCACTCTGTCTTTGTCTCCAACTTCCATGGCTCTACCTTATATTATTGAGAATGATGATATTACGGTGCTCTCATTGCCTTCTACCCCTGTATCACAATCAAAATTACCAACAAAAATTGATCTTATTTTATTAAAATTAAAAGATTATTTTCAAACATTAGCGAGCGAATCTCTGACTACTACTACTACTGCTCGTTTTAATTTAACCATTAAAAAACTACATCTATATGACTCGTATAAAACGGACATGTTTTTATTTATTGTTAATTCTCCACTATTGATTATTTCACAGACCTATCTCGAATATATTTTATTCTATTTGAATAAACGTCAATCTAGTCAGATTTCACCGTGGAGCATTATTGAATGGTACCATTTAGATACGTGTAAAACATAATGTTTTCTCCGGTTTTCTTTGCTTTTATTAGTTTTGTTTTTTGTTAAAATATAGATCTATTAATTGATCAAACGGGTAATTTTTTGTGCAATAAAAATAAACAGACGGATAGGTAAAAACGGTTTTTGATTTTTCAATATTTAATGAACTTTAAAGTGGACCAATATTCAATATTTAATTCATCTTTTGCTTTATTGTTTTTCTCGTGAACTATAATAGCTAACCTAATCATAAATCTGAGAGTAGAATCGTATATCCTCAAGAAAATCTTAACTTAACTCAAACCCGCATTGAAGTAAAGTTTTCCAGACATCCAGAATTTCTCATTCGTACAGCTAAATTAAGATTTTTTTGAGGATGTATAGATCCATAATTATAGTCATACGATTTTACTCTCAGATTTATGATTAGTTTAGCGGTCAGTCTACGAGAAAAAGTAAGGCAAAAGGTGGACAAACATTTGAGCACCACTTCGCTATGACAGACTATAAGAAATAAAATTTTGTGGTCGGCTATGATAATAATCTGCGTCAAGTTGATCATAATCTTTCGTTGTTTCTATATCAAACGTTGAATAAATTAATTTTATCGAATACTAACCTACATTCTCTTATTTAGCCGATATTCATGAAGAGTAGAAATCTGTCAAAATTGAGAATCACAATGTCTAGAAACGATCTTTGATCAAGTCTGTGAAAAGTGGGGTTATGTTGAAATGAGTTGTATTTGATCGTGAAAAGACATATGTGCTTTCCTACACACATTGCCGCTCGTTTCCGCAAAGAACATGTGAGCCATTGTACGTATTATTTCTTGACTGTTTGTATGACTAAAGGGCTCTTTTTTGAAGAGAATAATGAGTATAAAATTGCTACAAAGTACATGATAAGATTTGAACTAAATCTTTCACACATCATCAGAAAAATGAACGTAGGAAGAAAAGATAACTAATTATATAGGCTGTAAATGTGAGTATAAGACAAAGAAATTAAAGAAGCAATTTTGGCAGTCGGAACAACGTGCCAATAAAAGAATCTATTGAGATTGCACTAGATATGTTATATAAACCAAAGAAAATAGCTGATATATCCTTCAATCGACAACGAATGAAAAGACTACTAGAATTAGCCGTTTGTGATGTATCATTTAGATTTATGGCTAATTATTACGTGTAATTTGATGGAGTAGCAGTGGGTTCACCACTTGCACCAATACTTGCAGACCTATTTATGTCAAAACTCGAAACTAAGTTAAACAGATTTTCTACCAATAAACCATTACTATGGCTTCGATACGTGAATGATATATTTCGCATATTCACAACAAAACAGAATAGTAACCATTTTTTTCCTTTGTGTGTTTTTTTGTGAAGTAAACTTCATTGTATCGACATTGTTATCGATTTGAACACATATTCATATTCAATTCAGTCGATGACCTGCACAGAGATGGCCTTTGATGACCTCAATGGTACTCTGATGTTTTTTCACCATACTAAACGATGTTGGTTTAGTGAAAAGAGACGTCCAATATTTGTCCTATATTTTTAGAGAAGTTCTATATAAATTCTTTTTTCAAATCCTATATTTTAAGGAAGGGCCGGTACGAACCCACGAAATGATTTTTTTGTCGTGTCACAATTAACGCGAAGAAAAATACGTTTTGAACGTGTGTTCTCGAGGACACTCTAGACTTACTTAAAACTACCAGAACGCTTTTTGACATCTTGGATTCAGGTTTGAGAGGTTTAGGTCATATTCATAACATTTTCATGAAGTCACTCGTCTATATGCTTATACGAGAAAACAAATCTAACTTAAATATTTGTTTTTAAATTTTCATCCAACAAAACATTGTTTTATATGAAATTATATAACAGGATAGTCCATTATGTCTACAATCATCCATTTAGGATTATAATTCAACATAATTCCAAATTTCCAGTTGCAATATTTCTTAGGTGCAAAAAGTGAGTGAATATGTAATCAAAATTTCAGTAACGGAAATGACCATAATTCGCTAATTCAATGTCGAGAATTATAGTCTACAATGGAAAATTATAGGCATAAAGGAGACCGCTCATTAATTGATCACATGGGAAGAAATTTTTCAGTAGAATTCACACCCATGAAACGATCACTGTAAAGTGGGTTTATTGCTCGATTGTATCAGATGGGATCCTGTCGTTATAATGTACCTATTCTCTTGTTCGCTCAAATTATAACAGAAACTGGATCTGCTTAGAATTACAGAAGATATGGATAGTTTCAATCATTAACTTTTGTGTGATACTTTTGTTATGCATAGTCACACATGAAAAATAAGGACAATTCAATTGCCATCTTGTTACCAACTTTTATATATGACTACTATCGGCGCCAAAATATAGTACGGCTGACTGTTTTTGAATAACTTTTTATAGGAATGAGATAGAGATCTGCGATTTTCGCTATTCGATAGCCAAGACTTGAGCGGAACTTTTCGCAAGCGGAAACAACTTTTGAAAAAATTTCAAAGATCAGATTTCCAGAGAATCTTTGGAAAACCAGCTCCGTTCTCAGAAAACTAACATACAATGTTAGTAATTTTTTGCATGCGTTGATAGTTCGGACGTTACTCTACAAAATTATGCAAGTCCCGGCTCTCCAGCTATCTTCGTTCCGACAGAGCTCGCTTTCCCCGAGCACGTGTCTGTCTCCGAGCAGACATCTCTGGGAATCTCGAAATACCATGGAGTATAGGTAATCGACTACGCTGAGCATAGTGGCAACATTTGCTTTTGTGTAAAAATGAATATAACTTCGCCAGAGGCATTTTTGTGACAAAACGGTTTTTCGCCTCTTACTATCAAAAATTAAAATTCTTATATCTCAATCAAATCTCACGCTGAGTCAAGGAGTCTTTCAGGAAAGACTTAAAGGGTGCCATATATTGTTGATCACGCCGAAAAAGCGGTCCAGCAGAACACTGACGCTTTGAGGTTTTTCAGAAGGTTTCTGGAAAATCTTAAAACAATGCCCGACTGAAATTCGCCTTTTTCGTCTTCGATTATGCTTTATGAGCTGTCCTGAGCGTTTCCTGAAAATTTCCTCGAGTCAGTATGGGATTTGATCGAGGTATAAGGATTTTAATTTTTGATAAAAAAAATCGCAGATCTCTATCTCATTCCTATAAAAAGTTATTCAAAAAACAGTCAGCCGTACTATATTTTGACGCCGATAGTAGTAGTTCTCTCACTATTATTACTTTGACATGTCTCTTAGTTTTTCCCTTCCTAATCATGGATAGACATGAGTGTCGATCTAGGTGGTATTAGAAGTACAACATTTTAATTTGACAATATAAAAAACAGGACATCTTGAGTAAAACAATATCTCTGTAAATGTAATAGAAGAAGAGAAGAGAGTTCATTTTCGTTTCTTGTTTATCAGAACAATGTTTATCAAATTTGGCGTCGCACTCCTTGCAAAAAAATTGTTTTCAACAGTGAAAATGTGAGAGAACGTAATTCGATTCAACGATGTTCGTATGTAAATAATAATAATTGAAATCGTACGTATGCATGCTTTTGTCCAATAAAATACAGACAATTATTAGACAGTTTAATGGGTGAAAAGTTATCCTTTTTTATTCACTCCGTCTGTAAGACAATAAAGTAGATGATTCTTAACGTTATATAAGGCTTCAACTTACCTGTTTCCACTGCATGCTGCAAACGCTGAGATTATTCACTATTGGATCCATGTATATGACTGGCTTCGTTGTATAACTGTTGGATACGTGACAGCTGTTCATTTGTCTTTAAAAAAACAGAATAAAAGATAGATAGCATCGTATTTGCAGCAGAGATTATGTACTAAGAGATACAAACGCCACCTTACGTTCATCAGAGATTGACACAATCGTTGCACAGAAATGTGTTAATAAAGATGTGTTATGAGAAAGATTTCTGTAATAAAATTATACGATTTATCGTCGGCTGATGAGGATGTGACGAATGGATCACGAGCAATATCTTGTGGTGTATCTTTGTAGAGTTCTAAAATGGCAAGAATTTTTTTTTTGAGAGCGGAAGATCATACAGCAACTTTTGTGCAAGGCTACTCGATCAATGCTATTTATTAGTTTTCACATTATCAATTAGTGGAACTGTAGACTATAATACTATTGCTGATGAGTTTGTGTCGAAAAATACTGATTATTCCTTTTCGAATGGCACTGTTTTCAGCTTTTTTTCTGACATTGCGCGCTTGGCTTCTTTTTAACTCTACACCGTTTGCGACCATAATGGTGCCGTTTTCCTATCGTTTACTGTGGTATTGCGGTCACAAGCGGCACCGTTTTGGTACGGCCACGTAGTTTTGGACCGAAAATTCAAATGTGATCCAAATGTACAAATGGTAAAGCATTGTTAGTTGATCTTGTTACTCATTTGTTTCAGCTTATTTCCTTGACTGGAAGTCTATAGACTTTTATTTCTTATGACCCTATGGGATCATACGAAATAAATGTCGGCGTCCGCAAAATAAAATGCGATAGCAAGTAGAGGATAAGGTTCTAAGTGATGCAAATGGTACGAGGTAGGCATTCGACCATGAAAAATGAGAAAGAGAGTTCTGTGAAGCTGGTTTCGTCCTCTGTACGTTTCCGTGGTTTCTTCCTCTGCGTGCACATTATTTTTTATCAGAGACGGAATTTAATGTTAAGCTATGATATTCATGTTCTCTCGGTTTCGTATTCTATTATCCGTTCCAGAAGTCATTTCCCGCAAGTGGGAAATTAGAACGTTTGCTGTGTCTGGAGAGCACGAAGAGAATTTTTTCCATATTAATACAACGGGAACATGAAGAAACGTAAAGGATTATTTTGAAAAACTTTTCTAATCGCAATAAAACTCTGCGAATCATATGAACGGCGATGTATGCCTTATGCGAAATGTAGAGGAAGTTTACCATCCTGTAGATGATCACTCTAAAAAGCAACTGCCAAGAACGATCGTC